CGCAGTTGCCGGAATGCCAAGGTAAGGCACGCTGGGAAGGGAGGACAGGGCCTGGCTGTTACCCCTCGTGGCGGCTGTGGCAGGACCATGAGCTGGTTTCACAGCCCCTCAGTTTCAGCGAGGGTTTTGTCGATTGCTTCTGACCAAGTGCCTCTGGAAACTGCAGTTTTACTTTGCTTTTTCGCCTCCCCTCAAGGCCAAAGCCCAGAGCCCAGCACCTGGACGGCCAGAGGAGCAGAGATCCACCACTCATGAGAAGCACGTTTAGCTCTACACAGCTACTACACGCTCTAGTACCTATTCTCCGAACGCAAGTAAATGCCTCTATTGCTGTGTCCTTGAGGACTTTCTATGAATTTAAATTTTTATAGGCAGTGTTTTATATATATAGCTGTATTTTTAATTTGTGAGAGGATATTTACAGGCTCTTACTGCTCTGCTCTACACTGGACCCCATCCCGAGACAACAACTCGGGCACTACCTTCAGTGTGTTTCCATGGGGGCTCTTAGAGCCACCCACTGAAAGAGTTCTTGCCATTCAGGGCTGGGCGCTCACACGGGTCCCTTTAGAGGCCAGGCTCTGGCTGTCACTGCGCTGCTGGGGCTGGGATGGAACCCCAGGGGTTGCCTCACTGTGTTCTCTGCACCAGCCCCTGAAGCTCCGTGTTGTGTCTGCCTGAGCCGCCCAGCCCTGGGTGCTCCCAAGGGGCACAGGGAGGGGGTTCGGGGTGGCACAGGACAAGCCCTGAGCCCCCAGGGTCTTTGCAAATGCTTTTCTCTGCTCTGAGTCCAGGCTTTTAACATTCCTTGTAATAAACTTTCTCTAATGCTGTCCCCAACCCTTGTGCAGCAGTGATCTGTTCTGAAGGGATGTGTGACCGCAGGACGGTGGCCATTCGCATCGCGCTGTTCTTACCTGCATTAGGTCCCTGTTAATTGTCTTACAAGTGTGTTCACATCCCTTGTGCTTTGGGAATAGGTAATGGAAAAGGTGGGGGTCTTAAATGATGACTGTGGGCATCAGCCTAATTAACTGGGTAGCACAGATGGCATGAGCAGGGCTAACGAGCCCATCACTCCTCAGGGCAGGGCTGGAGGCCTTGGCACTGCCACAGAGGCCACAGCACAAAGTGACAATGGCTGGAGGGAATCCTGCTTCTAAAATAAAGTCATTTTGTGGATGCTTCCACCAAATTTAAGGGTTTGTTTGTACAAGAACAGCAGAATAAAGCTTGGCTCAGCGAAGGGCGTCTGGGGTGGGTCAAGAGCCATCCCAGCACTATGCTGCAAGACATTTCCATTTCTGTTTCAAGTAAAAACAAGTTACAGCATCTTGACCCTAAAAGTAGGACTTTAAAGCAGAAGATTTCTTTAATCATCTTTAATGATCTCCAGCCCCAAAGGAGGACACAGGACAGCTGAAGGGAGGGCAGGAATCACCTTTATGCAGTGTACACTCCATGGCCAAGAGCACGGAACAGGTTAATGCTGTGTGCAGGACCGAGGTGGACACGCGTCCGGCTGGAACCACGACCCAGCTCCAGCAGTTTTCCATTATTTAAGTATAATTTTACATTCTGAATGAATATATATTAAAAAATAATAATAATCATCACAAACCAATCTTTGCTTTGACAAACAAGCCTATTACAGACAATGTCAAGTTCATTTAAAGCACGAGGAAGTAATGATGATTAGAAAAGCTTTAATTAAAAGGCCATTTGAGCGACAGTCGAACCGCTGCAGCGCTTCCTTCCTTGGAGCATAGAACCCTGGA